CGGTAACTGTAACGGAATACAGTTACTCATATTTTGTATTTTAAATACGTAACGGCGGTACATGTATTCCGTTACTCCCCAACACTGCATACCAATGACAGCTGTTCATGAAACAGGCTCCTGAATATACTAACAAAGAATTTATCCCAGTCTGTTGTTGCTTATTACTGTAAGCTAATAAAGGCTGCTCGTGAAACTGCTGTGTAAATGCAGCAGCAGCAATCAAATCCCCTCTGCGCTGATATTCTGAACAGCAACACTGCCTCTGATATTGCTCCAGTATGTACTTTTTGAATGTGTCAATATTCTGTTCTGGAGAAGTAGTTGTTTATCTGTCTATGCTGTTTCCTCTTGAGGCATTTGTCAGCTGTGTCAGTCATCAAGGGGTTACTGATTTGAAAAATAATAAAATATAATGAGTATTCGTGACAGTACTCATGCCACTTACCCCATGGGGCTAAGGTCTGCAGAAATAAGCATGCTCTTCATGTAGGTACACATGATTGGGACTTCCAGCTGTTTTCTGGGCACCTCTGTCGCTCCCGTTGGTGAAGTGTATGGATGCATAGTGTTAAACAGGTTTACAGAGGCTATGTAGTGGGTTTCATTCTGAAACACCCAAACAGCAGAAAGAGCAGAGTGTTGCTTTTCATACTTTTTTATACTTCGTACTTAGCTGAAGAAGACAACGGCAAGCTAGTATACAAAAAACAAGAGCACAGGGGATTCAGGAGGTTTCCCAAATGCAGAGGAGAAAAACTTACATGCACAAGTTTAGTGTCGCACTCATTCCAGGCCACGGTCAGCTCCACGTGCGTGTCATTGCCGCCATTGATGCCACAGCCCACCGTGCCCAAGTAAAGTGCACTCTCCTGGATCATGGAGCTCAGAAGAAAATTCTTAGTGACAGTCACAGTGATGGCCGCAAGTCTGCAATGGACTGAGAGCGCTTCTTGGATAGAGTCGTAGGTGGCAGATCCCAGAGCGGTGGTACTTTTTGTTGAGCTGGTAGCAGTTGTTGTGGCAATTGTAGAGGCGGGAATGGCTGTTAGGGAAGTACTGGTTGTCGGGGTAGTGATGGTGGAAGCTTGAGCAACAGTTGAGATTGTTGATATACTGTCTGTGGTTATTTCTGGAGGAGTAGTTAAAGTGGTTACAGCTGGCTCAGTGGGTGTTATTCTTGTTGTCAGGGGCGGTGCTGCCGTTTCTAAGGTTGTAGGTGCTGCACGAGACAATGCTCGCTGGTTACAAAGATATTCTGTTTTACATGTAATGTGTATAAATGAGTTTTTACAGCTACCTCGGCAGACCCGTCCAGGTCTCTCTGGGTCGTTGTCAGTAAACCCGAGCAGGCAAACACATGAATAGGAGCCCCAGGTGTTATTACATGTGGCCGACTGGGAGCAATCATTCTCCCCCGAAGCACATTCATTAAAATCTACAGACACAGAAATAAAAAATGGAGTCAGGTATTATGTTATTGGCTGATTATTTCGATGTTACTTTAATTACTTTGAATGTTGCTTTTGAGACACAAAAAGGTTTTGTTAATACTTTTAGTGCACTCAGGTCTTTTGAATGGTATGCACTAAAAAACATTTTGCAGTTAGAACATTATGACTTTGTGCATCATTTGTGTTGTATTTCCATAAAGCTGAGAAAATTAACATGAGGCAACAGCGACCGAGAAATATTGCCTTTTAAGTCAAAGCGTCAGTCGACATCCAGAATTTCTGGATTCCACAACGCAGCTTCGTAGTTATTCGAACATATTGTGCCAAGAGAGAAAGTATGTGGAGCGCATGTGTCTGAAGCAAGACTGCAGAGAATCGGCAAACGTACAATAAAAACACAACACGTTCTGAAACGCTGACTCAGTCAGTTCAGTTAACACGTGAACAGGATATTTCTGGTATATGTTAGGATGCCTGGGTCGTTGACCCAGGGTTTTTGAGTTTATTATATTATTTATAATTTCTAGTCTTTGGTTTCTTTGTTAGAGTTCTGTCTTTTGGTTTATGTCTCTGTGTAATCCTTAGTTGCTGTCTCCCCTGTCGGCTATATCCCCGTGTCCAGTCAGTGTCCGTGTCTGCCCTGGTCCCACGTCTCCGTTCCCTCTGTAGTGCCTGTCTGTGAGTCTGTGTCTGTAAGTTCAGTCTGTGTTATGTTTCCTGTTTTACTTTGAAAGTCTATGTCTCATGTAAATGCGTCTGGTT